CAGTAGTAATACTTCAACTAGCCAGAAGACTCAAATGGCTTAAGACGACACGGCAAACTCTTCAGCCGTAGATTCTCACTCTACTACACTATCCCTTATCTTCACTTTCTCTATCAATCACTTTTTCCTCTATCTCTCAAAACTCTTTTCTAGGATGAACACAATGGACCTATAGGTCTCCGAGTGGAGCGGTTGCCATATGTCAATCGCGCGTCCTTTAACCTAACCTAACCTATTTAGCCGTAAAATGAACCACAAAAACTAACAGCACGACGGAGTGCATAAATATTGGGAAAATGTCCCTTGTCAAAATGCTAAGGGTAATATCTGAGCAGTGCTCCGTGACATAATTTCAAAAGCGAAATCTTCCAAAATGGATTTGGACATGAGGGGGCTTCTAACATATTGTAGTGTTGTAGGGTATCACATGGTCGGCTCCGCACGACTATAGCCTAATGTATTATATATATTATTAAAAAACTTAACAAAAATCTATAACATAAATAACGATTCATCTCGTTATAAACAATGAAAATTAAATTTGTACCCAATATGGAAAAAATCCGCCCAAAATCCGCCCAAACAACAAAATTTATCTTTTTTCCGCCCAAATTTGGACGGAAACGCCCAAAACGGCAACACTGGTTATAACATATATGTCTATCAAAGAAGATATGCTTGAAAGATCTCTTATATGTCGAGAACGGCTGAACTGATTTCAACAGTTCTCATTAATTCAGAATGGCCTCTTGGCAGGAAAGAAATAACGTCTAAAAAATCGCATAAAAATATCTCTCTAAAGATGAAAATATTGATTTTGTAACATTTTCTCATATTTTTTTCAATTTTGTCACATTTTTGGCATATTTTCATTTTGAATTAAACATTTGGTAATATTTCTAAAGCTTACAAAACTAAGTAGTTAGGATATCAGGATATCATATACTGATTGCATTTATGGCCCGATCCTAACGAAATTTTGCATGGGGATCAGATGAGGGTCAGAATAGAAGCCTACTCTTTTTGGAGATGATCGCTATATATTTAGGGGTTGAAATGGACCAAAAAAAACTGCAAAATTGTCAGCAGGTCGTAATTATTGCCCGATCCTCCCGCACATTTGAATGGGGGTTACGGACATTGCAAAAAGCCAAGCAGTTTTGGATGGCCATTCAAAAATATTCAATATGTGAAATAGTTTGCCAACTTTTGTAGACAAAATACGAAAAGGTCCATTCCAGTGACTTTTTGGAGAATTCACAAATACAGGAAAGACACACTTCTGACTATTTCGTTAACGCTGATTTCGTTGAAGAATATAGTCAAATGTCTGTATCTCATATAGATGCGTTTCAGTCAAAAACCAATAATAAATGTTAATCTTTTGCCACTTCTGAGAGATTATAGGTCTTTGGGAAATATTGGTTCCAGATCTAGGAAGACCATTTACGTGCAACACCTTCCAATAAATTGGAAATGAGCAAATTAGTTAAAGTTGCTATTATTCGAAAATTAGAGAACGAAACCTGATGGCTTTCTTTTATTATTTGTCACAATATCTTGTGGAATTCTTTCGAGTATCTCGCCTATATAAACTGTATCGTTTATTATAGTGATGTAGGGTATTCAACGGTCGGCACCGCTCGACTGTAGCCTTTGCTTAATTGTTTTTTTTTTTTTTTTTTTGGATACGTTGAACATCGTCCAAAAAAGATGAAGCCGTTAGAGAGAACCGCCCCTTTTCACTCTTCATCTTAAACCGACATGGAATTAAAAAGCTTAAAGAGAAACGGACACACATACAAAAGATCTATAACCAAAAGTTTTATCTTCTGTGAGGGAAGGTATCAGATATTTACCCATATATACATTAGATCAATGCTTGTTAGAAATATTGAGGTTGTTTGTTGGAAGTTAAGTTTGTATAAAATCGTTGATTTGTTTCTCATGTTATGAGACTAAACATATTCTACATTTCGACCTAATGTTGGGAAGGTATCATTAGAGCAATAAATCTCATATTAACATATGATTTTGAGATATATATTCAAATATACAAAGTTTTGAGTGAAGCCTTAGTGGGAAAGTACTAGGAAGAGTGGGCCAATGTTGAATATTTTCACTCATACAAATATTAGGATTTACCAAGTTTGAACAACATATGATGAACCCTTCCTGTTCTATGAGATAAATTATTTTCTGTGAACAATTTACCTTTTGTGGTAACACACAACACCATCCAAGTTTGATAATAATATTATAATGTGCCAAGAGTGGACCAACTCGTCGTCGAAAAATAATAAAATGGGGTTAAACGAAGACGAGGACCTGCATCGATTTTTTTTCATAGGCTGTAGAACACATTATGTCCTTTGAATACGAAATTTGAAACAATTCCGCTGCATAACGTCGCTAAATTCATTAAATCACCGAATATCGGGAGGTATCGTTCTATGGTGGTTATACTAATATGTGAACCTGCATAGACAATTTTATGTCATAGGTTGTAGTACCCATTACGGACTTCAAATACGAAATTTGAAGATACCGAATATCGTGAGATATCGTTATATGGAGACTATACGAAGACGTGAACCATAAAAATTTTAAACAATTCCAACCAATAATGTCTCTAATATCATAAAAATACCGAACAATTGGAGGTACCGTAATATAGGGGCTATACGAAGACGTGGACCAGCATAAGTATTTTTTTGCCTAGGTTGTAGTACCCATTACAAATTTTAAGTACGAGGTTTGAAACAATTCCAGTAAAAAAAAAAATATTGCTAAGATCATCAAAATATCGAACATTGGGAGATGCCGTTACACCCAGAGAAAAAATGACAACATCCGTGTATGAAATGACCACATCCGTGTATGATAGTGTATCAACCACGTTTGGTGTCAAAATGAGCACGCTGTTGTCATTTTGACACCGAGATTTTGGCAACGATTTCAACAACAGATGTGCATGAAATGAGTGGTCATTTCGAGCACGCCCCGTTGTCAGATTGTCAACGCTTCGTTGTCAGATCGTCAACGCTTCGTTGTCAGATTGTCAACGCTCCGTTGTCGGATTGTCAACGCCCGTTGTCAGATTGAAATCAATGGTGGTCATTTTTTGATATCCGTTCCTTTTCCATTTTATACCCTTAGTAGAAGAAACGACATTTTTTGAAAAGTATTTTATTGAACGAAACCAATTACATAAATTCAATATAAATACATATTTGATTTAACAAAACAATTCGAATTACATATATTCAATGTATAGAAACAAATTAAATTAACTTAAATCTGAAATAAACTTTTCCATTATTCATAGGATATAAGTGAAATGGGTAAGTAATAAAATCTAAAATTGGTATTAAAAAAATTGTATCCTCATTCAGAGAACCAACTTCATACGATTGTAAATGGTAATCAAAGTTTTTAACTTTTACTTGGTTACATAAAATGTAAACATTTTCATTTTCAATTATTAAATGTTTAATTTTGAAAAGTTCAATTGCGGCATTATTTGTTGCTAAATAATAGTTTTTTTTATACCTAGTTCCCTTAAAAAAAATGTCATCAGACACTTTGCAATTTTGGTAATTTAAAACTGGCTTACTTTTTTTGTAACAATATTCCTCTTTTGCCAAATCTTCGATGGTATGCGTATTAATGATAACATTTGGTTCTAAGTTATCTTCGTGTTTTAATAAAAAATTGGAAAATTTCAATCCAGACTTAATAGATAATGAACGACAGGGATTTACTCTTGATGTAGTATTTCCTAAATAGGCTTTTGCTTCCTTGTGTTTAGCTTCGAATCTCATGCTCCAGAGATATTTAAGGGGACCACATTTTCGGATAGCTGTGGGATAGTGGACAAGAAAGTGGTGTTTCGGTTTTAACGAACCGTATAATGTTATATAAAGTGAATGGTGATCTCTAATTAATTCTTCCAATTTTATTAAATCGTCTTCTATATAACTTGGTCTTAAAAGTAAATCGATTATTTGTAATAATATTATAAAAACTTTCCAGTGATCGTTGGAGAAAGGAATTAAATCGCCTACCATTAAAGGTAAAAAATTAGTAAAACACATAGTTTCACTAGCTGTCATTTTTAAGTTATAGTTTTTCAATCTACATAAATCTAGTGGTCCAGATTTATTTCCCACTTCAATTTCTCCAAATTGGAATAAAGATTTTCTGCTGTTAATACAATCTAACGTAACAATATTTTCTTGAATCAGCCCGAGAATTACATTAGACATATCGTAGACACATATGCCCTCGAAAATGTCATGCATAATATCAAAACAAAAATTTTCAGTGACGTTAAAATTTGGTAAAGATTCGAAGATACACTTGTTTTTAATACCTGTTTCTTGAAAATTATTTTCCAATACATTTGAGTTGTAATTCTCTTGGTTTCTTAAACTATCTAAATGCTGAATTGCGTCGAATTGCATTTGGGACTTTTTTCTTCTACATACCCGGCAAAATCTTTTAGAGTTAAATGATTGCACGTAGCCTAAAATACTATTAACTGCTAAATTATCTCCAATAATTACACCTAAAATAAAATGCACCTTCTGAACACTTTGTTGAACACAAATTTCAACCCCTTCTTCTAGAATTTTTAACTCTTCTACAAGATTGTGAAATGAAACTTCATTTCCACGTTCTTTTAAATCCTTTGATGGTATAAACGCAGCAGTTAATATATAATCAAGTTTTGACAACAAGTGCTGTGGCATTGAAGGAAAGCTAATATAACAACCACATATGGAAAATGTATGGGTTCCAAGAGGATTATTAATTTGAAAATCATCCATGTAAAGGACATAGGGAATAACTAAATTGTACTGATATTTTAATAATTTAGTTTTATATAACTCACCGTTTGTAAAATTTTGTAAAACAGGTGAATTTAGGAATTTTTTGGAGTTTTCTAATGTCAAATCTAAGAGATTTGGAATTTTAAAAAGGGCACTTATCATGAATTTCAGTGGCATTATATAAATATTGGATAACTTTGGACCTAAACTGGGATTTCCGCTGATAACAATTTCCGAGACTTGATTGCTAATTACATAAACCTTTGGATCATCATAAAAGTTTAGTTCTTTTAAAATTTTTAAAAGTCTATATTCCGTTCTAGTTTCTTCGAAAGGATTTTTACAAAAGTTTAGTAAGTACCTTAAGTCTTCATAATTTGGATGATCAGTTATATATTTTTCAATTGTACATGAAATGGATGAAAGCAGAATTGAAACAGAATGTTGTATTTCTATAACATGATTTCTAGGCATATAGCTTTGACCATGTAATTGTAAAGACAGATATAAGGTTTTCTTTTTCAAAACATTTAAATCCTTTTCTATTGTATTGTTGTTAATAACAGTTTCACTGTTTGTATAATCATTTTCTTTTGATGATGACATTTCAACTGGCACATTAATGGCTTTAACCATTGGTGGAGCTTTTGTGTGATTCTTGTGAAGTTTTTCTAAATGAATTCTGAATGACGTAAATTTTGTAAATGTTTGCTTACAGTTGTCCTGAACGCATTGTACTTTTAAAAATTTAGTGGACATTAAATGGTCTGTTTTCAAATGAGCTATTAAAAGATTTGCCTTATCAAAATGCTTACGGCAACGAAAGCAAATATACATTTTGAATTGTACTTTAATTATTGTTGCAGAAATTAATAAGTGAAGTCAAATTAACTGATTTTATATCATATACAGTATTAATTTCATAAAAATATTTTTGGATAAAAATCCATGGAATTTGGCAGGCATTTGGATATTTTAAAGAAAGTGCATGAAAAATTTTAAAACATGTATCTAAACATTCGAGGAACGATTGAAATTTTAACAAATTGTGGTTAAAAAAAACATAAAAACCTTTTATATTGAAATCGGACAAACCCTCCACAATTATAAATGGCTGTATAGTTAATCCAGCATTGTAATACTTTTCAGTGACTGTATCAATTTGCCTTTTATAATCGTTAATTGTCGGTAGTCGCAGTACGAAACTTTCCTGCGAATCAGCTATTGTTACTTTTTTTCGTAATTTACCGTTTCCACATTTAAACCTAGCAGGTGATGGTAAAACTGAATTCAACAGTATTGCGTATATATAATCTTGAGCATCTGCAACCGAAATATAAAATAAATATTACTTTTAATGTTTATGATAAATCAGGAATTAAAATTTACCTATGCTGCTTGCCGTCAAAACATTTGCGAAGAGTTGTTTGCAATGTTCGTTATGAATATTTTTCCCATAATAATTGTAAATTTTTTTCTTAAATTGGTCCCATTTAGAAAGTAGAAGATTGCCTTTCTGTGGATACATAATATCGAAATCAATGTTGACCTAAAACGAAACATTAGTATCCATATACAAATAAATAGCTCATGGCTACTTACCAATTCTGAAGCTCTTGCATCGGACAACTTCGTCCATTCAAGGAGAAATGTATGGCTACTTAAATTTTTTATATCTCTTTGCCGTATGTTAAAAGATCTTTTCCATTTTTCGCAGATCGATCCCCAATCATTACATTCTCTTAGTAAGGAAGCTTTCAATGAATTTTCAACTGATTCATCAATTTCGGGAACATCTTTGTTACAAAAATTAGGAGATGTGTGAGTTGCTGCTTTGCTTGTGCTAGGCTCGGAAATCAAAAGCTTTATTCTTTTGGACTTCTTGTTTCTATACTTGGCATAAAGTTTTCCGCTTGCGTTGTTCTTTCCTTTTCTTGAAATGTAATAATAATCCTAAAAATAAAGACATATTATAAGTTAAGAAACTACATAATCAGATACGTTGTTTATATTGTTAATCTTACCCTCATTTCGTTTTCAAGAGGAAAAACGGAACAAATTTCATCCAATATGCGCATATAGTCTTGAGTGTAAAGAGTAACATTGTTGGTTAAAATATCTTCAATAATTATATTAATTATATCATCTCTTTGCTCGTCACTTAATTTCTTATTAACGCTACTACATTCAAGCGCTAGTTTCCCCTTCGAGGTATGTGTTAACAATTCCGTTAGATCCTATATTAAATAAAAAAACTACATTAACTATGCTTACACAAATATTACTCTTACCTTACCTCTGACAAAATTCCTTTGGCTTTTGAGCAGTTCGAACCTGTAGTGTCGGGAGTACCAGGAGTACTTGCAGGTGTCTCGTTGCGTTTCCACCATTCACCTATTTTAGATGGAACTGACATAGTTTCGTCATCAATCCCGAGCTATTGTTATGACAATATTAATACTGAGTTCAACTCTGTAAAACAAATAATACGTACCTTTCGTTTTTTCCAAGCAAAGAGCTTTTCTCTGAATTCAACACGCAGTCCCAATGGTGGCACTGCTTCCTTTAAATCTTCTTTTTTCAAGTACTGCAAGCTGCGAAATGTTACATGTGATGCTAAAAGAACAAAAAAGAAAATTCTTTGTTAATTACACTGATTAACTGAAAAATTCATTTTTATTTACTTACCTTTTAATTGTTCAAAAAGCGACTCCATATTTATTCCTTTTAAGAACTCCCTTAACATATAATCGTCCTCATTGTTTTCCGCATCTTGACTGCTGCAATGGTTTGTATCGCGAACCACAACAATATTGCCATCGATTTCTAACAACTCACCAATGATATTTTGAGGATCTTGCGAATTATTATTCATTTTCAATAAATTTTTTGCACAATGCGTCCTTTCTCTTTCAATAACACGGAAAAAATGGTAAATATGCAGCCGATTGCACACGAGTAAAAAAAATGACAACGGTGGTGCATGATTCATACACGGTAGTTGCTAAAATGGCAACGATCGTGTACGATTCATGCACGTCGGTGTACAAAGTAACAACGGTGGTGCATCATTATGCAGGTGGTGGTGCATAATTCATACACGACCGGTGTCATATTGACAACGACCGTGTGTGAATCATGCACCACCGTTGTCATTTTTTACTCGTGTGTAATCGGCTGCAATTACCAATATTACAAATGGACAAATTAAGCACGGCTGTTGTTGGTACCGAAAGTTGACCACGTCTCGGTGTCAATTTGAGCACGTTCGTGCACAATTCACCAACAGCCGTTGTTGAAAAATATAACAACGGGTCGTTGCGAAAATGACAACATACGTGCTTGATTTCGCAACGGGATTTTTCCCTCAGTGTATAGACCGTAGACCGACATGGGCCATTTACTAAGTGCCTACTGGCAAAATACACATGTGTGCAAAATTTTAACCTTCTATCTTATTTTTATTCAAAGATAGCGTGACACACAGGCGGACTTATAGTTTTATGCTGATTAAGAATATATATACTTTGTAGGTTCTGACAGGAGTATTTCAAGGAGTTACTAAAGGAATGACTAATTTTATATACCCTTCATAGCATTGTGAAGGGTATAAAACCCATGACATCCCACATTTCAAAATATTCTGGCAACTCGAATACCATCTTTGGCGCCATCATACATGTTGCATGTGGTTGTATTTACATTCAACGGGCGAACAACCACCAGATAATCACATACAACGAATGCTAAACAAAACACTTGTTGTTGTCAAATACCGGCACTTGTATCAAAGAGAGACACTAGCACGTTGCTACATGGGAACAATGTGGAATTGGAATCGTTTAAGAGAAGCGTGGAAACAACAAAATAACGAGCCAACAAAATTATGCATTTTTCCTATTTGAAAATGGAAATACGCCAATGAATTTTTAGTGTTCTACGGAAAGAGAACGCGAACGGGTCGTTTAAGCGAGTGAAACGGAAGCCGCAAACAATACGGTGGATACTTTTTTTAAAACGGGGAAAAATAATAAAAAATATACATTGATGAAAAAATTGATATGAAACTTATTTCAGTCAATACAAAACTAAATAAGAATATTATAGTGATTCTGGAAAAGCAGCGAATGTTGTCTGTTGAATAACAAATGCGTTTTAAAAAATAATTGAAAAAAGCAAAACAAGCATTGAAATGAAAATTTGCAACAAATAAATGACAAAAATTATAATAAAGCGTTTATAAGAATTAATTAATTAATCACAAAACATATATAAATGGTTTAAAAAAAAAAAATCAATTAAAAAATTTTAATAGTGATTTCCATACCAAAAAAAAAAGATTTATAAAATAACAATATAATCTTCGCGCTTTTAAAGAGAAACAAAAATAAAATTTCAAAAGGTTTGTGTGAGTTCTAAATATATCAGAGGGCCTTTGCTCCGACGCCCTACTAACCAAGCTACCAACCAAGCATTTCATTTCTTTTTTTAATTATTTTATTATTAATGGCATTTTATGGTGAATAAAATTTTTCATTTGATTTTACGAGTGAATGTTTTTTTCCTTTGATGCCATCATCTGAGGAAATGAAAGAACTTAAAAAACAGCGAAATCCCAATACAAAGTAATACAAAAACACACGTGCAATATAGATATACAGTATATTCCTAATAATGGCAATTCGTGAGGGGGTGGAAATAATTGCATTACCGAAATTTTATTACATATAAACAAAACAAAAAATAAATTTCAAAAGTGAATTCCAAAAATACCAAAGCAATAAATGCCCATTGATTTTTTAGAATTTTGACCGTTTGTCAGGGAGATACCAATGTAGTGCTCCGATATATCGTCAAACTAGATATATGAAATGTGCAAAGTTTGAAGAAAATCGGACACTAATTCCATAATTCATGCGAGCTATAATTAATGAAAATGTCAACCTTTTGAGGTTAGGTACGGATAATCTATTCGCTATCTGTTCCTTTTGATGATCTTTATAGAATCACATTATCAGACGATTTATGCATGTCCGTCCGCGCGTCCTTCCGGCATGTGTTTTTGTAAACAAATAAATGGCCGCATTTATCGTACGATTGAGATGAAATTTTCCACAAATTATTTGTTTGTCCCAAGGACGAATCCAATTTAACTCCATTATATATCTTCGTCCGATCTGAATTTTATAGTGCTCATATGTGTAATACTCGCCCAAATGGGATGTATTTCCGCACTTCCGATCGAAGAAGCAAGAAGTGAAAATCGGATCAGGTATAGCTAGCTATAGCTTCCATATATATGTTTCATCCAATTTAGTGTTGAGGTCCTTCACATTCGTAATATGCATTCCACAAGAGTGATATTCGGTACCAGATATCAAATACAGCCCGGAAATACATATGCCAAATTTTATCAAACTCGGTTCAGATTTGGTATAGCTTACAAGTATATCTTTATTCGATTTCGGTTTTATTGTAAATGCAAGCCCAAATGGACTGAATTTTGGCACGTACGATCGAATTCAGCCTGGAGGGTACATTAAGTTCTTCATTCCGTTTAGAGTTCGTAATGGGTTTATGACTGAAAATTGTCTATGCACGTCCAGGTCTTCGTATAGCCCCCATATATTGCTACCTCCCTATATGCGGTATTCTGATAATTTCAGCTGCATTATTCACCGGATTTTTTCAAATTTCGTATTTTAATACTGTAATGGCCTATGTCAAAAGTTGCCTATGCAGGTCCACGTCTTCGTATAGACCCCAATATAACGGCTATAGTCGAATTTTTTAAGATTTTAACAGAATTTTTAACGGATTTTATTTTGTTTTGAAAATTTCCAAATTCTTTCCAAATGGTGGTGGGTATTCAATGAATTCGTCAAGTTTGGTGGAAAAAGATTCAGAGTTGGGTATACTGCCATATGTTAGTTCCATCTGATTTCAAATCAGAATTGCTCTATAGCCATAATACACATTCAAAAAAGGTTCATAATTGGTATGATCTAATTCACATAAATTCTAATAAAAAGACTTGTTTGTTACGAGTAGCTCTACTAAATATGCATAAAGGTGTATCATATGGTCGGCCGCGCCTTTCTTCGCTCTTTTTTATTATTATTTTTTGATGTTGGTCCTTTGTTAAGTAATTTTTGGAACGAGTGGACATATATATCCGATCATCAATCTTGATCTAGTTTTGGTAAAAATATTATGATGTGCAAAGTTTAAGGGATATCAGCGAATAACAGCTGTAATTATTCAAAATGCTGACTTTTCTTCTCCTAGCTCCTTCGAAATTTAACTACTTTTCGGGTTGTGCCGTGGTTGGTACCAAAATAACTGGGCCATTGAAACAGACACGTAATCAAAAAGGACATTTAGATTCTTGCTTACAAAAGCCATTTTGATCTTTCGATTTTTATCCAATCAACTAAAAATCGATTTTGACTTTTTAGCGAAGTTCACGAAGGTTGGTTTTGATTTCACATTTTTGACTTTTTTGACTTTGGAACAGATGATAAAATAGTTTTTTCGACATGTTGATTGGCATTAAACAAAAATAAAATTTTAAACATGTATAGGCTCGGCAAAAAAAGGAAAATCAAGTTTGTAATTTTTGCAAATACAAAACTTCGACTACGACTTGCAGTCTTTTCAATTCAAAAAAGTCAATTATTCAAACCGGATTCTCACATATTTCTCATATTTTTAAGCCTGAAATAAATATTTAAAAATTCAATAAACTTCGATTTCTAAGATATATTTGGAGTGTAGAAAGAACCAGAAGAAGTGGACCCCGTGTCTTCAATGAGCGTAATTCTCTCTACACATACAATCAGAACCATTAAAAAAACAAGTAAGCAAAGGCTACAGTCGAGCGTGGCCGACCGTTGAATACTCTACAACACTATAATAAACGATACAGTTTATATAGGCGAGAAACTCGAAAGAATTCCACAAGATATTGTGACAAATAATAAAAAAACCATCAGGTTTCGTTCTCTAATTTTCAAATAATAGCAACTTGAACTAATTTGCTCATTTCCAATTTATTGGCAGATTTTGCACGTAAATGATCTTCCTAGATCTGGAACCAATATTTCCCAAAGACCTATAATCTCTCAGAAGTGGCAAAAGATTAACATTTATTATTGGTTTTTGACTGAAACGCATCTATATGAGAAACAGACATTTGACTATATTCTTCAACGAAATCAGCGTTAACGAAATAGTCAGAAGTGCGTCTTTCCTGTATTTGTGAATTCTCCAAAAAGTCACTGGAATGGACATTTTCGTATTTTATCTACAAAAGTTGGCAAACTATTTCACACATTGAATATTTTTAGAAGGCCATCCAAAACTGCTTGGCTTTCGCAATGTCCGGAAACCCCCATTCAAATGTGCGTGAGGATCGGGCGATAATTACGACCTGCTGACAATTTTGCAGTTTTTTGGTCCATTTCAACCCCTAAATATATGACGATCATCTCCAAAAAGATTAGGCTTCTACTCTGACCCTCATCTTATTCCCATTCAAAATTTCGGAAGGATCGGGCCATAAATGCAATCTGTATATGATATCCTAACTACTTAGTTTTTTTTAGCAGTAGAAATATTACCAAATGTTTTATTCAAAATGAAAATATGCCAAAAATATGACAATATTGAAAAAATATGAGAAAATATTACAAAATCAATATTTTCATCTTTAGAGAGATATTTTTATGCGATTTTTTTAGACGCTTTTTCTTTCCTGCCAAGAGGCCATTCTGAATTAATGAGAACTGTCGAAATCAGTTCAGCCGTTCTCGACATATAAGGGATCTTTCAAGCATATCTTCTTTGATAGACATATATATCGCACAAATGGGGTCTATTCTGACCCAAATCCCACCTTCGTGCAAAATTTCGTTAGGATCGGACCATAATTACGACCTGTAGAGTGATTACAAATTAACATGGACAGACGGACAGACGGACGGACGGACATACATAGCTAGATCGACTCAGCTCGGCGAGCTAGGAAGATCCATATATACTTTCCTATATGGGAAACCAATATTTCGAGGTGTTACATAAATTCTGGCCCAATCAAACTGATAATACCCCCAACACATAGTGTTGTAGGGTATAATAATGTAATCGAGAGTAACAAAATTGGGAGAACATAAAAGAGCGAAGGAACCCGATCTGCAGGTGATAGACCCTAGATCTTGAGGTAATCGGAATATTGCAATGTGTTATGATTGAAGTTTCGCAGAAACTTCCATTGTCAAATAATGAGTTTCCTACCTACTAACCCATTATTTTTGCAAAGGCATTTCGCCCGAAATAAGTAGTTTCTATTTGACCACTAACATGCGACAAATATGTCTAAAAAGTCAATTGTTTCGTTTTTTATAATCCCGCACCATTATAATATAAAGTTAACCGCACTTCATATTGTGCCCCCATTGCGAACGTAAAGGAGCTTAATTGTAGGTTAATAAAAATTGTCAGAATATTTTTCCAGATGTAGGTAACCCGATTCCGGGAAATAATTTTTTCTAAGGGCATGGATGGGGATCATTTGAAAAATAATGAAAATATCTATTATTCAAAACAGTCCGGAAGTTATATTATCATTTCTATATAAAAATGAAATGTGTGCCAGAGTATAGTTGAAGCTATAATCTTTCTGGATCTAGAGATATGGGTCTTTGAAACCGGATTGCGTTCAGTATATTGACATAATTTTTTAAGTATAATCAAAGACCCATATCTCTGGATCGAGAAAAGTTAAAAAAACATAGCATTTTGAAAAGGTTAGCTATAATTTGGTATGTATCTCCACAATGGGCTCCTTTTCAACTTTCATTTTAAGAGTACTACAATGGTCTATACCAATTTTTTCATATGTCGTATATATTACACATACTTCTATCGTGATTTCAACAGATGGGCGGACATCGTTAAATCAGTTTAAAATTGTATGCTGATCGCGAACATAATTATTTCATAGGGTCTCAGAGCAATATTTTAAGGTGTAACAAAAAGAAAGACGACCTTATTGTAGAGGGAATAAAAACAACTTCTTCAAATCAGACAGCATTTATATTGCGAATTAGGAGGCATTGTTCACCTTTGAAAAGAAAGTAGAGCAGTCTGCGAAAAAATCTATGCCACTCTAATGCTGTTTGAAAACGTCAGATAACCAAAATAAAATTAAATTCCATTTATTCAGAATCGATTGTCCCCATACAGACTCACTCACACATTCGTGTCATTTACATTCATAATTAATACGCTCTATTTTCACATTTAACACAAAAACCGTTAAAAACACAGACTTATAGTCCTACTCTCAAACACACACACGCTACACATTCACAACTTAACTTCTATGTGATGTACGCGCCG